GTTTTTCATTTTCTCGGTTTCTGTTGTTCTTTCCCCCGATTGTCTTTTTTGTTATTCTCGTTTTCATTTTTTTTTCGTATAGTTATTCGTTCCGTCTTCTTTTCACATTCGCCGTTATTATTATTATTATTATTATTATTATTATTATTATTATTATTATTATTATTATTTCTCGTGTTCTTATACTCTTTATTCGATATTCTTTTTTTTCCTCGGTTATTTTTCCTTTTCTCCATTCTTATTCTTCTTGGTCATCCATACACACACATACGCATATATACATACATACATACATACATACATACATACATACATACATACATACATACATACATATACATTCATACACACACACTTTGTTTTCCATTTTCCGTGAACTACAATTTTCCCTTTCAATTTTTAGGTTTCGCTAAATGCAATTTTCTATTTAGATAATTTGGTATTTGACTATTCATTTCTAAATATTAATTTTGTTTGATTTGAATTACGTATAATTATTAGCCACATTAACAGCATATCCGAGAAGCGTCTATTGCATTTTGAAAACGTATTGGAATCTTATTGTTCGTCTTTTATGGCATTTGGGTTTAATGTTTTCTTTTTTAAGAGGTTTAAAAAGAGAACTGCTAATGCGTGTTTACTTTTGGCGGGAATTTGCCTGTGTAAGCAAAGCGCCTCTCTCCTGCCTCTTGTTTTCTCACTCTCTCTGGGACTCTTTCCCTTTCTTGTTCTTTGGTTTCTCTTCTTTTCCCCTTCGTTCTTCGCTTCTCATATTCCTATTTCTTCTCTCGTTTCTTCCTTTTTCAGTGTCTGCCGTCCTCTCTTCTTCCCTCTCCTTCCCTCTCCTTCCCTCTCCTTCCCTCTCCTTCCCTCCTCTCTCCTTCCCTCCTCTCTCCTTCCCTCCTCTCTCCTTCCCTCCTCTCTCCTTCCCACTACCAAATGTCCAGGATTATCAGGTCGACCACCTCCCGCCTCTAAATAGCCGCAAGTAGTTAGCGACCATCTCAGTCGTTTATTACTAATATTGTCATTATTATTATCATTATCGTCATTATTATTATTATTATTATTATTATTATTATTATTATTATTATTATTATTATTATTATTAATATTATTATCCTCATTATTATTATTATTATTATTATTAATATTATTATCCTCATTATTATTATCATTATTATTATTACCTCATTATTATCATCATTATCATCATCAACGAATCCCCATTTTCTCTCGGCCATGGGGTGTCGGTGCTGAGGTTTTGAAAAGTTTTGATTTAGTTTTTTGGGTTCTTGACGTGGTGTTTTGAGTGTAGGTTGAGGATGGAGAGGAGGTTGGGTCTTCTGGCATCGCAGAGGATTTTTTTCTTCCCTTTTTATATCGTAGTTTCTTCTGGTTAGATGCGTTATGGGTAATTATTATTATATGACGTCATATAACACCCAGCTCAGCCTCCTTTTCCTTTTCTAAAAGTAGTAACACGTTTAAGCAAAGAGCAAATTCGTCTCCATTTATCCCGATTAGCGCAGGGCATCCACGGCTCGATGCCCCGATGCCCCCCTCTCCCCCCCCCTAGAGATCTGACACGGTGGGCGGAGTGGAGAGAAAGGGGGGCGGGCGCTGCTGTTTTTGTCTCGTTTATTTTTCGTTCATTTGCGGTTTGTTTTTGTAGAGGGATGGGGCACAAGTGCATCTACGGGCATTTTAGGAATAAAGTGGGTAGTTCCGCGGTGGTACGTTTCAGCTTTTTATTATTTTTCGTTTAGCAGGATTTTTTTTCTCCTTGTTTAGAGACTCATGTGGGAATCGATCGTTGTATGATATCCAGGGATCGTTTATAATTTTCTCTTATTACGACAGATACATTGTGAAACGTCTCTTGAAATAATCTTTAGGCTCGTTACTACGTTCGACGCGTTGCTATTATCATTATTATTTATTCATTCCTGTTTTAGACTTAATTCATCGTTATTTGTACTGCTGGAGACTTGCTTGACAACAGGCTTTCCTACAGCTGGTTTTGCCGGAGCGGGAGGGTCGGATGTGACCCAGCTTGGCCTAGTTACCCGTCAGTGTTGCCGTTTCGTGGGTACTGTTATCTTATTGAATTGGTGGTTTTTGAATGATGGATAAAAAAGTTGATGTCTTGGAGTAATTTGGCCATATTTCGTGATTTGAATTGAGACCTTTGTATGACTAGCATGGCGTATACAATGCTAGTTTTTTTCGAGATGTATACTATCGTGGAAGGACCAGCCTACGACCTATTCCCATTAACGCCATCATCGTTAGAGCGAAAATGTTAATTAAATAGCGAATGGGTTGTCGCTATCATTAACCGTTTTACTTGTAACGGCCGCAGCTGATGGAGAAGGCAAAGACCGTTCATGGCGGAAGCTGCCCATTTTGCCGCAGCTGCTGCATTTTCTCTGTTTTCCCCATTTTATTGATTTTTTTTTTTCTGCAAGATAAAATTCGGGTGGAGAAAATAAATATTTATGCCATAAATACCTCTTTTAGATTTTTGTATATATGTATTTTGGTGCAAGTGAAATTGGCGTCTTGACATTCGGTTAGTGAAAGTCGAAAAGCAAGGACAAAGTTGGTTTCGCAAATTTGCCCGTTAGATCAGCATAACACATTGATAATGAAAATATATATACACACGTATACAGGGGGAGTATGCCTGCAGTGTGCATCCATCTTATTTCTTGGCAAAAACAGCATATACAAATAGCGTTAGTCCCCCTAAGTAACAGGCCTCTCCGGCGGTCAATATCTAGTTTCCCCCTAGTAACCTGGATCCTCCAAGGACGCCAAGGAGACTCCTCAGGCAAGATGTATACTTTGCAAAAAAAAATAATAATAATAAAAAAAAAAAATAGAAGGAAGTGTGGAATACAGACCTAAAATCATTTCGCATTTTCGAAAAATCTCGGAGGTCGTTTGTTCTGTATATCGTTGCTAGGCTGGTTTGTGTTTATTGGCATAGTACAAGACCGGGCCACCGTGGCATAGGCCTGTCTTGATGGAGGGCGCGCGTAGGCCTAGGTTGCCGGTTTTCAGAGAAGTCGCTGTGGAAAGGCCAGCTTCTTATCACTCTTCTATCAAGGATTTTTTTTTCTTGCCCTCGGTCGAAACAACAAGTGATCCTGCGGGGATTCTCAGAGATGATTGGAATCTGAAGTGTTTCCTACAATGCTTATTTTCTCGACTGTTTTTTTTTTATCCTTTCTCCGAGTATTTTTTTTTTCCTCGGGTCCAGATGTACTGTATGGCAACTCGAGAGAAATGGCGAAGCATGATCGATTTCCTCAATACCCCCCCCCCCACCGTAAGACTGTGCAAAAAGTTCTTTTGGCGAAAATATTAGCGAGGAATAGTCGCCATATTTTTTTTCCTTTGCTCTCTCTCTCTCCCTCTCCCTCTCCCCCTCCCTCCCTCCCTTACTCCCTCTCTTTCTTTCTTTCTTTTTCTTTTTCTTTCTTTCCCTCCCGCTCTCCATCCTCCCTCATCCCTCCTTCCTCCTCCTCCCAACTCCCTTCCCCACCACCAATCCTCCCTAATAAACAAACCACAACATGCTCCCACATTAAAAAACAGACCACAGCGACATGAAACCAAAACCATTTTTCCTTGTGGCTGCGGCGAGAGAGGGAGAGGGAGAGGGAGAGGGAGAGAGATGGGGATGTCGAGCGAGCGTTGGAGGGGATGAGGAGGAGAGGGAAATGTGCGGATGTAGATAATGGTACGAGGAGAGAGGATGGAAGGAAATGTAAATGCAGAAAGAGGGAAGGGGAGACAAGGGATAGGTTGAGGGATATAGATGGAGAAGGATGAGCGGGCGATGGAGGAGGAGGAGAAGAGGGAGAAGGAAGACGAGAGATGGTGTTGCCATGGAAGACCAGATACGTTCGCCTGTACTTCATGCGCTGCTCGCCTGTCATTTGAAAGGTTATTCGTGTGGTGGCTATTTAAATCACCATAATTTCATTTTACATTAAACCTTCTTTTGATCACATTGAGGAAATGTATTTCATGACATAGTTATTATCAACATCATCATCACTTCATTAATAATAATAATAATATAGTGTGGCTGTTTAAAGCAAAGTAATGCAAAAATATAAATCTATCACGGTAAATGCAATGGAAAAAATCATGAATTGAATATACTGCTTATTGGTGTAAACAGTTACTGATAATAATTGGCACGCTGAACCTGTATATAAAACCAAATCTCAAGATTGGTTTTAATTAAATCGTTTAGCTCTTATGATAATACATAATTATGGATAAACGTTGGAAATCGAAACGCTTTTCCTGGACTAACATTAATTTTTCATTCTAATAGTGGATCTTTTGATAGGTAATTAGGAAGTAATACTGTGATAACGGGTGATTTTTTTTTTTTCGTTTTTCGAACTTGATTTTTTTTATTGTGCTTCCTAGTTAGTTCTCGGTCTATTTGGATCTTTCATTTGCATGTTGCCTCGTTTCGCAATCACACAGGTGGAATATGCGGAACCTTCGTGTTAACTAGAAAAGGAGTCTAGTGTAGCTTAGCGAAATGGGCGTTTTTTTTGTTTTGCTTTTTTTATATACTTACTCGTTCTTTCTTAGTAAATTTCATGGTGTGATCTATATAGTATAGACTTTTAGATAATTGTTTTTAAAAGATGAGGGTGTTTATTTGTTTAAATTGAAATGTGCACAGCATTTGGGGATTTACTTATAGTGCATACATTCCATAATGCGCACACACTATAACTTCCGCACACGCTTCTACACACACACACACACACACACACACACACACACACACACACACACACACACACACACACACACACACACACACACACACACACACAAACTGTTATATACTCCTGTCACCTTACACGCTTCCATTGCGCGCTTAATCGCATTCCTTAATCAGCCTGTTCTTTAACCACGACCTCCCCCCCCCCTCTCCTTGCAGGAACCGCATGCAGCTCCACAGCACGATGTCCTTCTACCTCCTGGTGAACAACAAATCCTTGGTGTCCCTGTCGAGGACGCTCTCCGAGGTGTACAGGGAGTGCCATGACGACGACGGCTTCCTCTACGTCACCTACGCCAGTCAGGAGGTCTTCGGGTGAGCGCCGAGGGACTTTTTCATTGTTATTGTTATTGCTATTGTTTTATTATCATTATCAGTTATTATTTATTGTTATTGTTATTTGCTGATATTATTATTACTGCTACTACTACTACTACTACTACTACTACTACTACTACTGTTATAGTTCAATGTTATAAAACTAATTAGCAGTTATTCAGTAGTTATTCCTTGCCATAAAAATTGCAAAGAACTGATTTTTTTTTTCCTGATTTGTCATTTCGCAATGAAACATAAAAACATTAATAATGATGTAACAAAGCAAGTTCCCTTATTTCAATCACTAGCAAAGGTTCCATGGATACAAAAGTAATCCACAAAAAAAAAAGAAAAAAAAAAAAAATACAAACTAACCGTTAACTTGTCTCCATTTCCAGGTAAAGGCTAGTGGCTGTACTGATAATTGCCTGTACTTCTGTGATACACCTCTTCCGCCTCTGCTCAAAGGGAAAGCTCCTGCAACAGCCGCGGCACAATTTCGCTCCTCATTCCTGTTGTCAGGAGCTGTTGCATTTCTTGCAGATGTTGAGACTTCCTTTTGTACATGTATTTATATATACATATACATATTTGTTAGATATATTTGGATACCAGGTAAAGACCTTTTTGCTCAATGTCTTTATATGTCATTTTCTGAGTGATGCATATGGAAATGCAGTTGTTTGAATCCAAAGAAGAGTATATAGTTGAAGAAAAGGAAGCTCATGTTTGATCATTGCCAAAAAGAGGGGAAAAATGTTAAAAAAAAAAAAATTCTATATGGTTGTGGTGAATGATTACTTGTAGTAAAATCTCTCTTGTCTTGTACGTTTTCAGAGCTTGAATAATGAGAGGAAAGATCAAATTATGACCTTGAAACACTTCATTTTAATGCAGAGATGGACTGTCATGCTCCAGATTTAGTGAAATTTACCATTCACCCATTTTTAAATTACAACTTCTATTTAGTTCCTGGATATTTCATGTCTAAAACAATGATGTATTGGATACATGCTTGAAGATTTCCCTGTTAGGATGTGTCAATGAATCTCTTAAAAAGGTACTATGTTATTCAATACATTATTTTTTTCATTCTTGCCTAGAACTAAGGAGCTGCATGACGCTTTATTTTTCAAAAGTTAAAGGCATAATTGGAGTTTTTATTCCCATAACTTCCTGGTCTGAAATTCTTGAACAGTCTTTTATTTACTTGTTTTAAAGTGTTTGACTGTTGAGATGAAAAGGAAAGTACAAAGACAATTATTATTTGATATGCAAGTTCAGGAGGTATTGTGTACCTATCTTCAGATATACATGTATTAAATCATATGCAAAGGAAAAAAAAAGGAAAAAAATCCTGTTTTGGATGTATACATGTACACAAGGTAATTGGTAATCAACAAATTTTAAAAGTTATTGAACAAGGAAAAAATAATTGTATTTACTGTTATGCAAGTATTTGGACTGTTACTTAATGTTAATTAATTTACAGAATTAATCAAGTTTAATTGATTGCCAATTCCCTTCTGTTACATTCCTAATGTATTAATTTTCGTATTCTTTATTTGTATTGTATCCATCATACAAAGCCTGATTTGTTATTTTCAAATAGATTATATAGAAAAATAGAGACACTGAGGAATTATTACCATTTTTTTTCTTATCATTTTGCCATGAGCCTGACAACCAATTAACCAGTGTATGATAAGAGATTTGCTAGGACTATCATCATGTGTTGACCTATTGTCTGTGCCATTTGTATTTCTCGCTAATCTTGCGTATTTGAGAGAAAGTGCAGAGAAAAGAAGGGAAAGGTTAGGTTTAAGGCGTGATGAGAACAGCTTCTTGTAGGGGGGTCCAATACAGCAGTATTTGAGCTTTATTATTATTTATATATTATTTTTTATTTTATTTTATTTTTTCCCCTTTATTATTATTATTATTATTATATGCCAATAAGGCTCGTGATTTATGATGATTTCACTGGCTGGACGGACCAACATACACATAGATCTCAGGGCACTTTGGGGCTGCTGTTCTATTATTGAATATATTTGCTAGTTTAAGGTATTTTTTAATCTGTTTTTTACTTGGACACAGAGAGTTTATGAACTGAAAATTTTGAGTTTTTGACGAGACAATATCTGGTTTTGAGCCGTATTCATGATTTCCAAGTAAATTCCAGTTTTTAGCTGAACTGGTGCTTTATTGACTAACAGTTTCTGATCTGTACTAAAATTCCATATTTTGCCGGAATTTTAGAGTATAGCTAATGGAAAATTTGAGAGGTGCTTTGATATATTTTAAATCATTTTAGAGTAAAATATAATTATTTGATTCTTAAGAGATATATCTTTATAGTTTAAATAAAAAATTGCTGGAATTCAGTGTACACAAATAATTATTAGTAAGCAGGAAATAAAATCCTTGAAGTGTACGTGCTGAAAGTTGATATTAAAGATAGGTTACAAAAAGCATTCAAAAGGTGATTCCTACGAGAGAACTTTTGCTGATATCCAAGTAACCTACAGTTTTGGTTAATGCTTACCCATTTGCTCTTCTGTATTGTATAAATATAAGAAATGGCATATTTACGAATTTTGATTTATGTGCAGAATTGTTTTAGATTTCACCTATGTGTATTCTTACATAAATAAAGTTAATATTCAGCAGTCTTCATTTCCTTGTCTTTAAAATCTGCTACATACATGGTGAAAAGACATCTTACAAAGTGAAGAGAGATCAAGGTATACCAAACTATAAGTACCTATATGCATAATCACAAACCAATGTAGAATTACAAACTATATATTGTCTAGATGAAACAAGATGGAAGTCCATTTCATCTCCTGGAAGAAATCTAAAAATGCAAAAACTGAACAGATATTCTAAGTATCAAAGATTTCATAGTAGTCCACTTAAACTCCTTGATTTTTTTTATTCTGTTTTAAGAAAATTATATTATGGTTGAGGCAATAGTCAACTGTACTAACTTAATTGCTGTAGATACTCCATAAACTACTCAAAACAGAATTTTACATTAGTAGATTTTTTTTCTATATACTTCCATTTCGCTGGCAAATCCTTGGAATGAGAGGAATGGAGGACTAATGCCTTAACAATTTATTATTAGTTGGTTAAAAATTATATGAATGATATGAATTATATAAGATGCTGTTTGTTACCATATCTACATTCATAAATGCTAAATCTAGTTGAAAGTGCATTTCTTCTATAGTCTTCAGCATGTCTAAAAAAGGATATTTATGTAGGTATGATTGTTAAAATGTGAAGTTTACAGCTAAATTTGTGCACTTTAACCAAACATTATGAGTTTTCCAATCCTGGCAGAGGAGAATCATTCAACTGTCTAAACCATATCCACGAATATTATTAAACCATGATTTCTTTTAATCTTGTTTCATTATCTTGGATGACTATACTACCACAAGAAAATAGAGAAGATTAAACACTGGCCAAACTTTTCCCCAACATTCTCATGTGAAATTTTTAGGACATGAATTCTGTCTCTACCCAAAGTTACAGCATATAGCAAAATCTGTTGGGGGGGGATTAACCATACTACAGAAATTCAAGAAAAGTTTTTTTACAAGTGCTGAAGATCTGCTACAACTTGCCTACAGCTGCTAAAAATGCTATACATTGGCATAGATTCCTGTGTTCCATGCCATAAGAACTGCACAAGTGTTTTCCAGTCACCTTGAACTTAAATTAACAAAGTTTTATTCATATTTGGATATTTTTGTAAACTGGCCATTCATTTTTACAAAAGGTCAGTGCTGTTCATATTTCATACATCATTTAGAGACTTCATTGATTTGAAAGGGATGGAAATAGTTTTACATAACGTGAAAAACTTTCTACTCTTTCTTTTTCTCTAAGTCATTAGCTGCCTCTCAGGGTTTCATTAAATACTATGATATAACAAGAATTAGTTCCTTTTTTTTAAGCTTTCCAATCAAAGCCAATCAAAATTAAGGCAATAAATGGCTAATTCAGGCAATACACATTCAGTTTGTATCAGAAGTCCTGCCCCCAATCCCTTGCTTGTTGTTGACCTGGGGGTTTAGAAGGTGGAGGCTGAGGCGCAATGCAGATTAAGTGCCTTGGACCTCAGTCCTTGCCCCCACTAATTTTGCATGGTCTCCTCCTACTTTCCTTTTCCTTCTCTTCTTCATCCCTTCTTCTGTCCACTTCTCCTAATCTTTAACTCATTTTTACCCTTTTCACAATACTTTGCCATAATGCTGTGTGACTTTTGTCTAGCACATTTGTTTGTTTAGACCACTGACCATTCTGGAAATCCTCAAACATGTGAACCAAAAACACTCTTAGCCAGAGGACTTCACCCCCTAGCCAGACCCAATCACTATATTTTGAATATGCTGCTGATGACCTTAGATACTGTCACAGCAAAAAAAAATAATAATAAATAAATAAAATGTATCTTTCATCATGTGACATGAAACTGAATCAGGAACACTGTATCCCTGAAACACATCATATCCTATATTCTAAAGGAGGAGGCTAATCTAAGTATCAATAAAGACGGAATTGCAAATCTGATCTTTATTAGCATTACCAACAATGTGGCCCTGGTTCATTTGTGTACAAGTTCCTATAACAGTATCTTTATACAACTTCTCTACAGGCACGTTGTCTTAACATTAGGCATATAGTCAGTAAAATGTGAGAAAGACAAGAGATAAAGTGGAAAGTAACAGTCTTGATGGCAACACTGATAAGGTCTCTGGACATTTTCTTTGTAATATTTCTACTGTATACTGTCTGAAAGGTCTGCAGTTATGTATCCACTACTGCTAAAATAACTCTGAAAATGTGATGTAACATAAAATTCCTTAAATAAAATGAACAAGTCTGAATAGGTATGATGTATGTTCTGGCAACTTCAAGAAATGATAATTCAATGGTTTGCATGGAATAATGAGAGAGAGAGAGTAAGTTTAGACAGTCCATACAGAAATATCTGGTAAGCCAATGATATATGCATTAAATATCAGTGACAAAAATAAAATGGATGACTGGATGTGAGCATGAAAACATTCAAATTTCTTAACAAAAAATATTGATTCATAAGTTAAAAGCTAAACAGTAAAGTACAGTCATCCTGGTATCATTTTCAAGTACCAGGCTTTGTTTTATAACAGGCAGGAACTGGTTTTTTTACACTATTTTGCAGCCACCTCTTTTATCTCATAGCAAATGTACACATACCATCTGATCTCACAAACTGTAAAAAAAAGAAACTTATTAAGAACTCTTAGGGTATTACAAACTTGTAACATTTTCCCTTGGCAATTCTATAAAAATGCAATACAAAAGTCAACAATCTACACTGTTATATCATTAGTGTACATGTCCATATTCATATGTGTTCCTCCATTTGTTCCAGCTCAAATTCTACACACTATATTGAACTTAGGAAATTCCAATTCCAGTGGCATATTTTGCTGGCCTGAAATTTGGTCTTTTCTTAGAACTATTGTTGATTTTTTACAATAGCAAATACGTGCACAAGCAATTTCTTTTCAAATTTTTAATGGATTCTTTCTAGTATTAATGTGTAACCTAGATGATGTATACACAGCCAGTCAGTGGGGGTTTGCGATATTTCATGGTGTACTGCAAAACTTCTCTCCTTTAATAAATCTTTTAACATGTGCAAAAACAATTGCAAGCTATAAGAAAATCATCTACAATCATCCAGTAGCATAAGAAGATAATCTTTGTACTAATGAGTTAAAATATAAGATTTCTCAAAACAAGTATAGCTCTATATTGAACTAAAATACAAAACAATCATAAAATGAAATATAATCTTTAGTTACATATACTAAATATTTACAAAGTAGCTATCAAATAAATAGTTACCATGGTACTTTCCTTGTTAATTATTTTCAGTTTTTAAATTTAGCATGTTTTTTTGTTTTTTTTTCAAAATTTCAAGTTCCACTATCCTACTTATTGTCTCTGAACATTTTATCTCCCTTTTCTGTTATCCTTTGCACTTAATCTAAATTCAACATTCTCAAAGCTAAATGATACTAAATATCACCTATTTCACAACACCAATTGAATGAATACTTAAATTAAGGAACTTGGTAAACTTTGGCTTTTCGACAAATAAATAATAACTCACAAAACAGCGTATGGGAATTAAGTAAACTTGAAAATTACAGGCACTTTTCTTTTGGTTTATCTTTTCTCTTCAATGTTGGTTTGATTTCATAGCCTCATTTCTTTGTCAATCAAAGGGACACACTTTATCCGTGCACATTTTGAAAACCGTAACATCAGTTTCAAGTCCAAGAGTTGCATACCTTTTGTGTTCTTTCTCTGTCCCCAAGTAAATTAATTTTCTCCCATTCTTTTAGTCTTGATAATGTTGCCGTCAAAATCCACTGCCAGAAGTGATATCAATTTACTGATTATTATCCAGTTCATCTATGGTAAGAGAGAAAATAAGAGAAAGAAAATTATGCGAATTTGCTCAATTTCTTTTTTCTTTAGATCATTACTTGTGTCATATCAAACAATCAATGATTTCTTAAGAAGAAATAAATCTATATATTTAAAAAGGATACAGATAAAAAAAATCAAGACAAGTGTGTGATATAGCCGAAGTAGAAGACTGAAGACAAAAGAGAAGAGATCAATAATAAAAAACATGGTAAAGATAACTATATCACTAAATGATCCATGCAGTGCTCAAGATAACATGCAATACCACAGGATAAATAAAATACCATGCCAGTAATGATAAAAAATAAATGAATGAAAATAAAAATATTCAAATTTAAAACGTAAAAAAGAGTGTGAGAGAAAAGAACCAGTACTTAATTATAAGCTTTATATTATGTTCCCCAACAGATGAGTAATAAAAAATAATGATATAGAATAAAACACCAAGGGACTTGACCACAACAAATGACAAAAAGGAAAAAAAACATCAAAATACCAAGCTTCATTTTACATCTTGTTACAAGAAGAAGTCTCACACTTGACAATCTTCTAGAAACTCTCATCAGACACAGGTCAGATCTACAGATTGAATTGCTAGATACAATGTGATACAAACTGAATTCATGTACTTACTAAAATCACTACTTTACAATGACCTCTTTGTGTGTGTGTACATTGGGCTATCTAAATGATATCTAACAATTCATTCTTGTAATTCCTGGCACACAACACCTTTCCAACCACAATTCTTAAGCCGAGGAGTAAAATTGCACCCTTGCAAGACAGCAACAGCACAAACTGAAAAGCTGCACTGGGGAAAATAATGTACTTGTGTAGTTTTTAAAAAAATAAATAAGAAATAAAAAGAATAGCAAAATCTGCTTGCAGTATGGCACCTGAAACTTTACTGCAATTCCGTTTTTTTGTGGGTTGCAAAGGAGTTATATTATCCTTACTATCATCATTAATTATCATCATAACCATTACTAATATCAAACACTAATATCACTACCATTCTTCTTCTCTGTATTTGCTCCCTTTTTATGTCAGTGATTAATCTACAACTGAAGCTTCAATAATAAATTAAGTTGTACGGGAGTTGCCAAATACTGACGTCAGACATCTTCTTGCAACAGAGAAAGAAAAATACCTATTGTTAATATTACTTCCTTTTTTTGTGAATCATAAGCTTCTATAAAAAGTTTTCCTGTGCACATTATACATTTTCTTTATATTAATGAGATTATAAATTTCACATACATCTTTCTGACTTCTAACTAAAACTAAACTTCAAAAGAGAATAAGAACCAAGTTAACCATAGCACAAAATGTATATGCTTGCTTCCTTTTCATGTAAACTGACTTCCATTTTAAAGGGAAAATAATCACACAGCTGCTTGAATCACATAATAAATATTCCCCATCTCAACATACCTATTTACGAAACAAGATATAAATAACAGCATTCCAATCGAAGAAAATGCTACAAAATAACACAGCAGTTCAGCGAGGGCCTGCAATAATGTTCTCAGATCCTAATGTAAATCACAATACAGTATTTCCTTTGATTTCACCAACCCACACAAGCTGAATTAATCATAAACACCTCCAAAGAAAGCTACCAAAAACTCACCTCCATTATCATTAGCCAAGCAGGGAGGATATGTGGAGTGAGTAGCATGAAGTCCCCCCCCATCTAAACCTGGGAGTTCTCTCTCTAATCACAATCTTAAGGTCACATTGGAGAGTACAGGGGTGTATTCACCACTTTATCTCATTACAAAAATTATTAATAATAGGAAGAACGCCCACACCCTGCTTGGCCTTGCAA